CATCAGGGTGTTTGTGCCTTCTTTAAACTCTTTGAATTCTTTGATAAAATGCATGATTGTTCTTCTAAGTCTTTCTCTCTGGGATTCATCTGGGTAATTTCCATTAGAGAACATTTCTATAGAACTAGTAAGTGTTGGGGAGAGGGGACACAATTTATGGCATTTCCACATTGTTTGTGCACTTGCAGTGTGTCCTGGACACATGTATTCCTTTCACTGGTTTTGTGTTGATATTAGAGTCTAGTCTGCCTCAGGCTGCACCATTGCAGGAACTACATGCCTGGGGCTAGGGTGTGGAGATGAGGCTGCTGAGTGAGGTTCCCTGACACTCACCAGGCAAACGTGGCGAATGAGCTTTCCCTCCAGAGCTAGGTCTGGGAGTGTACTATGACCCTGGGAGGCTGCAAGCTGGGGGAAACTCATCAAGGAGAACAGGAGCCGGAGCCACGCCTGGGAGTGTGGGGGATGGTCTAGTGGGAAAAGTTCCAGGGGCCTCTTTTTACAAAGCTAATGTTGCCCTGAGAGCCAAACCAGATAAAATGAAGCAAAATAGGAAAATATGAATAAATAGCCTTATTAAAGATAGATGCAAAAATTTTCAACAGAATAGTTGGAAAGTGAATTAAAGAACAAATCAAAAAGATCATTCATTGGAGCCAGGCGTTGGTGGCTCACGCCTTTAATCCCAGCACTCTGGAGGCAGAGGCAGGTGGATCTCTGTGAGTTCAAGGACAGCCTGGTCTACAGAGCAAGTTCCAGGCAAGTGTAGACAATACAGAGAAACCCTGTCTCGAAAAAAAAAAAAAAGAAAGAAAGAAAAGAAAAGATCATTCATTGGCGCGCTAGATGGTTCAGTTGTAAAGATGCTTGCTGCCGAGCCGGGCGGTGGTGGCGCACGCCTTTAATCCCAGCACTCGGGAGGCAGAGGCAGGCGGATCTCTGTGAGTTCGAGGCCAGCCTCGTCTACAGAGCGAGTTCCAGGACAGCCTCCAAAGCCACAGAGAAACCCTGTCTCGAAAAAACAAAAAAAAAATTTTTTTATAATGAAGTATCCAGCCAGGCAGTGATATCGCACACCTTTGATCCCAGCACTTAGGAGACAGAGGCGGGCAAATCTCTGTCAGTTCCGGGACAGCTTAATCTACAGAGTGAGTTCCAGGACAGCCAGAGCTACACAGAGAAACCCTGTCTCAAAAAAACAAAAAGAAATTCATAGGTTTTTAAAGTATACACTATTCTGGTCCAGTGAGACAGCTCAATGGATAAAGTGCCTGTTTTTCAGGTCTAATGATCTGTTTGATCCCTATAACCAATGATAGAAGGAGAGAATAGACTCCTGAAAGTTGTCTCTGATTTCCACAAATGCACTGTGGCACATACACCCATACACACACACACACACACACACACACACACACACACACACACACATACACAATTATGTTCAATGAAATTTTCTTAATTTATTTGTTTATATTTTATGTGCATTAGTGTTTTGCCTGCACAGATGTCTGTGTAAGGATGTTGGATGCCCTGGAAATACACTTAGAGACAGTTGCAAGCTTCCATGTGGGAGCTGGAATTGAACCTGGGTCCTCTGGAAGAACAACCAGTTCTCTTTAACTGCTGAACCCTCTTTTTCAGCATCTTAATTAACTTATTTATTTTGTTTGTTTGTTTTGGTGGTTTCGAGACAGGGTTTCTCTGTGACTTTGGAGGCTGTCCTGGAACTAGCTCTTGTAGACCAGGATGGTCTTGAACTCACAGAGATCAACCTGCCTCTGCCTCCTAAGTGCTGGGATCAAAGGCATGCACCCTTAATTTAATTTTTAAAATTATATGCTTCTCTGAAAAGTGTCATGGACTCTTGAATAGTCCTACTCTGTCCCACCCAGGGCACAAATCATCTCTTTGCCTGGTATATATACATATTGTATGTACTATGTATCAGTTAATCAATTAGTAGCTATCTCAAGTGTTAGATTGGCTTTTAATATATTATAATTTGAGCCAGGCGGTGGTAGAGCACGCCTTTAATCCCAGCACTCGAGAGGCAGAGGCAGGTGGATCTCTGTGAGTTCGAGGCCAGGCTGGACCGACAGCCTCCAAAACAATACAGAGAAACCCTGTCTCATAAAACCAAAAAATATATATATATATATATATATATGTATTTTAATTTGACAATTATTCTATTTCATTATTAGTTACTATTAATCTCTGTGCCTAATAAACTAAATGTTATTATAAGTACACATATGTAGGGAAATTATATATATATATATATATATATATATATATATATGTGTGTGTGTGTGTGTGGCTTCATACTATTCATAATTTTAGGCATCAACTGGGGATCTTGGAATGTGGCCTTTGTGGATAGATAAGGATTACTTTATGAGTTAAATCTTAACCAAAAGTATCAGCGAAGCTTCGTTAATTTCATATAAGATAGGTTTCTTTCTTTTGAGCTAAAGGTTTTTGTTTTGTTCTTTTTTTTTTTGGTGACAAGCTCAGGTTAGTCTCAAACTAACTATGCAGCCAATCCTGCCTTCACTTCCTGTGTGCTGGGACTGAACCCACAGCTTCATACAAAGTAGGAAAAACACTCTACAAATTGAGTTTCAGCTGTAGCCATTACCATGGAAGATATAAATTCTGTAACAATGCCGGGCGTTGGTGGCGCAAGCCGTTAATCCCAGCACTCGGGAGGCAGAGGCAGGTGGATTTCTGTGAGTTCACGACCATCCTGGTCTACAAGAGCTAGTTCCAGGACAGCCTCCAATGCCACAAAGAAATGCTGCCTCAAAAGAAAAAAAAGGTATGTGATGTGGGTTTGGATATCTTCACCAAAACTCATATTGAAATTTAAACGCTGTTATGAAATAAGAAGATGGGAAATTAACACAAGTTTAAATTTAGTATAGCTACAGCACTTGAAAATGGTACCTTTCAGAAGTAACTAAGGTTAAGTGAGCCAGTGTGTGGGAGTCCCTAACTTAATGGATCTATGGCTTTCTAAGTGGAGGAGGAAAGACCTGAGCTGGATATTCAATTGCTATCCCCTGTGCGATGCTATAAAGAGTCTCCTACCATAAAGGACCTCACCACATTTGGCTGTCCAGTCTTGAACCATGATGCAAACACATCTTTTCCTGTTTCATGAATTTGAGAGGGAGTAAGCGAAGGAAGACAGGAAAGGGCTTGGGGATTAGAAAGGGGTTGGGGGTGATATAAGTATATTTTAATTAAAACACAAAATATTAAGAAAAAATTGCCTTACAAGTTACTCAGTCTTTGCTATTCATTTATAGCAACAGAAGATAGACTAAGACACTAGATTTAAAGGGAACCAATACAAAATGTTAAAAAGATTCAAGTCACAAAGAAGATAGTTCTAAACTTTACTTCTAGCAACATAGTCTCAAAATATATAAAATAAAAAATTGGCAAATCTAGAAATGGCAAAAGACGAATTTATAATCATAGTAGAATGATGATGAGTGGTACAATTTCTGGGCGCTATAGGTTGAGCAGTCAAAAAAGCAGCAAGAAATGCAGAATTGAACATTACAGTTAATGTTCTGGCTGTAATGCGTATAGACAGAGTTTTGCACTTGACCACTCAAGATTACACATTATTTTCAGCCTTGCATGAATCATTTATAAAGCTAGCCAAACTCTACACTCTAAAGTCAGTGCTAGCAAAACTTAAAGGATTACATCAAGCAAATCACTTTCCTTGCCACTATTCAGTTTAGTTAGGGATCAGTTTAAAACATTCCTATGTATTCTGTACATAGGAAATTTTTTTTTGGTTTTTCGAGACAGGGTTTCTCTGTATTGTTTTGGAGATTTTCCTGGGACTCGCTCTGTAGACCAGGCTGGGCTCATTCCTTGTCATATGCCCAAACGATTCACTATTCTGCCCCACAGTTATTTTCTCAGCCATGTTCACTGCTGCTTAGTAAAAACAGATAACAAATAGTAACAACCAAATATCCTTTGACTGACAAATGGATAAAGAAAACATGGTACATACACACAATGGAATTCTACTCAGCTGCAAAGAAAAATGAAGTTTGCAGGTAGTGCAAGGAACGGGAAAGTATTATCCTGACTGAGGTAACCCAGATCCAGAGAGACAAAGCCACATGTTCTCTCTTACTTGTGAATTCTAGCTCCAAATCTTTAGATGTGAGTATATAACCTGAAGTAGCCAGAGAAGTCAGGAAAGAAGAAGGGGACTATAGAGTGGGGGAGAATGAACTCTAGAAAAGGGCTTAGGAGGAGACAGGTGCTATGAAGTTGGTAATGAGAATAATGGGGGGTTGTGTTAGGGAGAGTTCACATATCCGAGGTCCTGTCCACGTGGACATGGTTATGTGGGAGAGGCGAGAGATAAAAGGGAGAAGAGAAAGTAAATCTCTCTTGGATCCTGGCCGCTTCGGGGACCAGTAAGTGATTTCTTAATAAAGTATCTTAGACCTCCTTTGCCAGTAGAGTTGTTCACTGCTTCAGGGTTGTAACTGGGAAGGAGTGAAGAAGGCCAATTAAGTGAAAGAGGGAAGAAAGAGAAACAAATAACACCAAAGATACTTGATAAAGCCACGGGGAAACATGATATTCTGTGACCTTAATTAAAATGCATATAATACATGGAGTTAAGCCACACGGGGAATCATGTTCCCTGCAAGAGCCATTAACTATCTAACAAAAACCCAAGTGCTAAACATACAGAGTCTCCCTTTGAGTTTTTAGTCAGGACTCCAAGAGACCTCAAAACAGTACAGGTTATTGCTATTTTCCTTGAGTACCTCCTAGAACTTGAAGGTAAGACTCTATTCCTGAAGATACTTTGGACAGTTGTTCTCTGAAATTTCTTCTGGTCTTCCAAATTTATAGCAGAATGGCCTATTAAGCTCTGATTATAGCATTCCAGGACTTCTTGAACCCACAGCTCCAAAGTCTCCTACAAAATTAAGAGATGCAATGAAGTGCTCACTTCGGCAGCTCATATACTAAAATTGAAACGATACAGAGAAGAGTAACATGGCCCCTGAACAAGGGTGACACGCAAATTCATGAAGCATTCCATATTTTTTTAAAAAAGAGATGCAATGAAAACAGTCCTAAGAGGGAAGTTTCTAGCTCTGTGTCTATATAAAAAATTCAGAAAGAGCCGGGCATTGGTGGCGCACGCCTTTAATCCCAGCACTCGGAGGCAGAGGCAGGTGGATCTCTGTGAGTTCGAGGCCAGCCTGGTCTACAAGAGCTAGTTCCAGGACAGCCTCCAAAGCCACAGAGAAACCCTGTCTCGAAAAACCAAAAAAACAAAAAAAAAACAAAAAAAATTCAGAAAGATCTAAAATAAATGACTTAATGATGTACTTTTAGGACCTTGGAGAAAGAAAAAGCCACACCCATAAATCAATAAATGTAAAAGAATAAAAGACACAACAACAAATAAGGAAGTTATAGATCAATGTCCATGATGAACATAGATCCAGATTTTCTCAAAAACTACCTGTAAACATTGCCAGGTTCAGTGGTGTATACCTTAATCCCAGTACTTGGGAGGCAGATCTCAAAGAACTAGTTGTAATTTCACAGATTGTTTGGATTGCTTTCCTTGTTTCCATTAATTAATTTCTGCTCTGCTTTTTTTTTCTGGTTTACAAGACAGGGTTTCTCTGTATTGTTTTGTAGGCTGTCAGTCTAGCCCGGCCTCGAACTCAGAGATCCGCCTGCCTCTGCCTCCCGAGTGCTGGGATTAAAGGCCTGCACCACCACCGCCCCGCCCTCTCTGATTTATAATATAGGCATTTAGTGCTATAAATTTCCCTCAGGACTGCTTTCAGTGCGTTGTGTTTTCATTTTCATTTAGTTCCAGGAAGTTTTTAAATTTCTTTCTTGATTCCTTCTTTGACCCATTCACTATTCAGTAATGAGTTGTTTAATCTCAGTGAGTTTGCATTTTTACTAAAGGGTTTTTGTTTGTTGTTTGTTTTGTTTTGGGTTATCAATTTTAAGTTTTATTGCATTGTGGTCAGATAAGCTACAAGGAGTATAGTCAGGCGTTGGTGGTGCATGCCTTTAATTCCAGCACTTTGGAAGCAGAGGCATGTGGATCTCTATTAGGCCAGCCTGGTCTACAGAGAGGAGAGTTCCAGTACAGCCTGCAAAGCAACACAGAGAAACCCTGTCTTGAAAAAAACCAACCAACCAAGCAAACAAACAAAAAGAGATACAAGGAGTGATTTCAGTATTTTTGAATCTGTAAAGATTTGTTTGGTAAAGATTTATTTTTGGATAAATAGTTATAGCATGATTCTTTGTAGCTCTTTCAGAAATCCTTGTTATTGCCGGGTGGTGGCGGCGCATGCCTTTAATCCCAGCACTCAGGAGACAGAGGCAGGCAGATCTCTGTGAGTTCGAGGCCAGCCTGGTCTACAGAGCGAGTTCCAGGACAGCCTCCAAAACAATACAGAGAAACCCTGTCTCGAAAAACCAAAAAAAAAAAAAATCCTTGTTATTTTACCCACATTCCTCTCTCCTTCCCTGTCTTCTCCCACTTTTCCCCATCAGATCACTTGTATCCTGCTATTCTCCTCTCTATTGCTTCCCAACTTCAAGAAACAAGCAGGTGAGCTGGGTGTTGGTGGCTCATGCCTTTAATCCCAGCACTTGGGAGGCAGAGACAGGCCTGTGAGTACGAGGCCAGCCTCGTACAGAGTGAGTTCCAGGACAGGTTCCAAAGCAATACAGAGACCCCCCCAAAAAAAATCAAGCAGGTATCACCAACCTAATATCTGACCAAATAGACTGCAACTAAAACTAATCAGGAGAGATAAAGAGGGATGCTTCATTCTAATCGAGGGAACAATTCTCATTTGCAAGTGGTTATCAATTGGAAATAACTTCCAGATTAAGGATGAAGGCATGTGTCGACTTCTTTCAGCTCTATGCCCCCATCTGGGCAGACCAGTACAGGCGCTGGCGCAAACCTTTAACCCCAGCTCTCCAAAAGCAAAAGCAAACAGATAACTATGAGTTCTAGTCCAATCTGATCTATACATAGCAAATTCCAGGACAATCAAGGCTACATAGTGAGTTTCTGTCTCAAAAACAAAAAAAATCTGTTTTTATTTCTTCCTTTTATTGAAAATAGATTATTTCTCATATAATATATGTTGATTACAGTTTTCCCTCCCTCTGCTCCACGCAGTTCCTCCCAGCCTCTCCTCCCCTCCAGATCTACTCCCTTTCTGTCTCTCATTAGTAAACATCAGGCTTCTAAATGATAACAACAAAACATGGCAAAATAAAATATATTACGATGAAGTCTACATGAAGCCCTCACTCGTTCGAAAATCAGTTTTTAAAAGAGTAGGCCTAGCCAGATGTGGTGGTGCCAACCTTTAATCCCAACACTCAAGAGGCAGAGGCAGGCAGATCTCTGTGAGTTCGAAACCAGCCTGGTCTACAAGAGCTAGTTCCAGGACAGCCTCCAAAGCCACAGAGAAACCCTGTCTCGAAACCAAAAAAAAAAATCTATAACTTCAGTCCCAGGGCATCTAACACCCTCTTTTGGCCTCCAAGGACACCAGGCATGCACAAGATACACAGATATACATGCTGACAAAATACCCATACACATAAAATAAATACATAATCCAACATTCAGAAGTTGGAGACAAAAGAGTATGAGTTCAAGGCCAGCCTGGGCTACATAGCAAGACTCACATCAAACAAAAACCAACAAAAATATTCTCAATTATCCATAAATTGTTCAGAACATATTAATTTTGATGATAATCTATGTATAATAAGCATATGATGTTCTATATTTGGGTGACTATAATCCAGTCTAGCAATATAATTTTAATAACATCATTACTATAGATTTTTATAATAACATTTGCTGAAGGGTCTAACATTTCAGTTGTTAGGTGTTTACTGTCCTGACATACCCCAATCTTTGCCCAAAATGTAGGTGTAAGAGCTTCTCTCTGATACCAGAATATATTTAGGATTACCTGAAAGTGACACTTCAGGTGTTATGTCTAATGGTTCACACACATTAACTAGATGATGTAGTCAAGGTCTTGAAGCAGAAAGTATGTTGGTTCCATTCATGGAGCAGGAGGATAGTAGAAGATATACCAGAAGGACAATTGTTCTCTCATGTATTAACAGATGCTCCTATTTCAAGTTCTAAGACACAAGTAAGGTGATGAACTACTTGAACTTGAGATTTCACCCTTTTCTGTGTTTCCAAATTTAGTTCTCTGATCCAAATTAATGTTTCTCATGTCACTATACCTCATGATTCATTAGCCTGGCAGTTCTCAGGTCACTGAACAGATATGCTACTATATTCAGTACCATTACCTTGAGGGATCATGAATGTTCTCACTTATTTTCTGTCTTTGCATGTACTCAAGGGCTTCTTCCCATAATGTGTATGTCACAATTTGATCTCTCATAATCTACTACCGCACTATGTATAAACACACACACACACACACACACACACACACACACACACACACACACACCTCACTCACTTAAGGAGAAAGAAGGAAAGAGGTTGATCATATTTTAGAAATGGAAAAATACTCCTGTATTCTTTCAGGATTGGCTGAATCAATGTCAAATGGTACCATTAAAGGTATAGGGGCTTTTCTTCCTCCTTCTCCTCCGTCTTCCTCTTCCTCCTCCTCTTTTTTCTTTTGCCTGATTTCCTCTGCTGACAGCACTCTGGTTGCAAGGTAAGTGTCAGCATAAGGGAAGTCTCTTCCTGTACATTTATTTTATTACTGAGACAGATCTTTCCCAAAAGTTACCCAGGAGACTTCTTCTCAGGTCTGAGGACTAAATCACATACTCATGCCTAAACTAACCACTAGCAAGGAGAATGAATCTTTCATTACTTCTGACTGACAATTTGAAATCCCACCGTCACCCCGGCATGAGTCTGAGATAGGACCCGTTTCCTAAACACGTGATTACAACAGAACCAAAGCAGCAAGGGAAAAGATGGAACAATGGATTAGAGCAGACCGTCAGCTCCATCTGCTCTACACACTTATCACCATGTTCCCTACTGGATTGTTTGGTTCAAGGGTGCTACACAGGAGCTCACAGGGCTGTAGGTAGGTGGGCACTTAGACAGATGGCTGTCTATCCCGCCACTCAAATTCACTTCCCAGATCCTTCATTCTCAGACAGATTAGGTACTAATTCCTCAGGAGGCAGAGGCAGGTGGATCTCAGTGAGTTCGAGGCCAACCTGGTCTACAAAGTGAGTTTCAAGGACTGTTACACAGAGAAACCCTGTCTCAGACAACAAAACAAAAAAATCTGAATCTCTAAAGGGCTTTGTTCTTGCCTTCCCTTCTGAAAGAAGGTGGGGCTTATTCCATCTACCCATAGTCTATGGGGACAGTTTTCCTAAATAATGTCTGCATGTAAAAGTTATTTGGGCTGTTCACTTTACTAAATTTGTCTCACTTTCTGATTATACTTTGTACTTTATAGAGACCCAAGCTCCTTGCCACATGTGAGAAAATAGCTGTCTTGTGTTTGCTCATAGAGCAACTCCAATTTTCATAACAGCACTCAGCCCCTATCTTATAGCTACCCTAGCCTTTTCTTTCTTCTGTTGAGAGATGAGAAGCAGCATTTGCTAGTCGGTAGTATCCCAAGTACTAGAACACTAAGTGGGCGCCAGTGAGATGGCTCAATGTGTAAAGGCATTTTCCTCCAAGCCTGATGACCAGGGTTCTATCTCTGAGACTCACACAGTATAGAGAAACAACTCCCACATGATGGCCTCTGACTTCTATAGTCATGCAGTGGTATGTACACATGCGCAACACACACACACACACACACACACACACACACACACACACACCAAATAGTTGTAGTCATTTTTTTAAAGAATACTAAGGAAAATTTCTGTAGACTTGGTAGAAAATAAACAGTGGGGGACTGGAGATGGCTCAGTGGTTAAGAGCACTGACTGCTCTTTCAGGGCACATACGTTCAATTTCCAGCACCCACACGGCAGCTCACAACTGTCTGTAACTCCAGTTCC